TGTCTAATCCGGCCAAAAGAGATTTCTGGAAATTCAAGATTCCCTGATCTAGGCCAAAAGTGGACAGCAGCAGAGAATTTTATATTTACTTAAGAACATTTACGATGCACGCAACGACATAAGGCTGTCCTCGTCGAATTATGTCATTGTCTCGCCGCGCTCTTTGTCGCATACTTCCGCAGCAGTAGCATACTTTTGGATTCCCCGCTTTCACGACTTTTCGCATTTTTCACTTCACAAGTTAACCAAACACCTCGCCGTGTGACTAAAGGGAAGTAATATCAGTAATAAGTCATTTAATTGACAAGTTGATCATTTCGCTTGTTAAACGATCTTAGGAGTTAGGGGTTTTAGGGTTAGGGGTTTTGTTCCTTGAGCCTGTTCAATTTTTCAATCAATCAAAAGTTGTTCTCATGTCTGCAGATGTTTCATGTTTGACAGGTAGGTCCAGATGTCTTTTTAAAACATTTTTCTTTCCTCTTTTGAGGAAGAAACGAAAAAGAAACGTATTAATAAGAACAGAAAATGCAAAAACAAGATGAAGCCAAACGCACAAACTAATTACACTCAGAATGCATGACGGCAGCTAATAGTGACCATAGCCACTAACCTCTGAGCCAGAGATAACACCTCTAGGTATCCAGGTTCTCCGTCAAAAGTTGTCTCAGTCAGTCAGCCTTGTAGTTTCCTTAGGCGGACCCTCCATAGACGGCACACGGCACACGGCACACAGCACACGGCACGCGTGCGAAATAGAATCAAACACAACCATTTAGAGTTGCACACTCCATTGACGGCACGACACAGCCACGACGAAACATTGCGTGCCTTGCTTTGCTGCATTGCTCGTTTTTTGTGTCGTGTGCTGCCAAAATGGATGACTACAAGAAAGAAATTATTGAACTTGTGGAAGACCAATCGCTTCTTTGGGACCCCCAAAACCCGATTGGTTCACGATAAATTACAACCAATTGGTTGTAGACGAGGAAGCACTAGGTTCTTCAGTTCATCATACGTTCTGTATGACATTCTTAGGTAGTTGAAGAACAATGTCTCATCTCTACGTCTCATCATGGAGCTG